ATCTTTAGCCTCTCTGCTGGTCGTCTCGGAGGCAGATGAGATGTAACCTCTCACCAGCAGTTTTGCTGAGACTCCTGCTGATGCTGGCATGTATAAATGATTGTCAATTTCCCGTATTAATTTACCTGGCTGTCTCATGTATAAACCAGAAGATCTCATTCACCCTAAATGTCCTCAGCATCAATCTATCGTGTTTACCTAATGTTGTTATTTTGCACTGGGCTACACAACCGCTTGAAACTTGAGAATTTGAAGAATATTCAGTGCCTATTCACTCATGCAGACAGAAAATGGGGGCACACAGGTGAATTTGCAATTATTGCCTTCCAAGCTTGTGTCAGAGGAACAGGTTATCATCATACTCTTCTTACTCAGTGACATCCGAAGTAGTTTAGTGGTTTAGCCAGTTTTAAAATGATGTCCTGGAATTTTAACTGGTATCTGCCCTGGTCGCCTTAGTTCTTTCTTCTTTACTTCAGGTCAGGAAAATAAATTACTTTGCTACTGGCCAAAAAGCAGGTTTATGTTGCTGCAGGTGGCTTAATGAAGCTTTCTTATTATCTATAAATATGTATTTGTGACTGTGGGCACAAAGAGATAAGGAATATTTTCGTATACTCAGTTATCTTGTTCAAAAGTCACTTCCCACTTGCCTTTTCTAATAGCCTGTAGTCAACATAGGTATTTACAAAGGAAAAACTACATTTAAAAAGTGTAGTATCTCTCCTTTTTATATAATAGTGGGGGTCATTTATTTTTTTCTAAGTATATCCAGTTGGTTAACCAAATTCACTATTCCAGAAAGGCTTACGAAAGTAAGTATGGAGAGACTGTATTGTAGGTGGTCTTCAAGAAGTAAACTGACCTACTCAAAAATGTTGCCACATTGAGATATTTTCTTTTCAATCTCCTTTTCTTCTTACTTAATTCAAACTTGGATCTTAAAGGGCACCTTAGTGCCTTAAGTTAAAAAGGGGAGTAGAAAAATAACCCAACAGTTCTGCAACTGTCAAAAAGGACGAATATGCTAAAAGAAAGAATGCAAGCATGTACACAAGTAGAGAAGAGGAAAAAACTCAATAATAACTACTTTAAAATTAAGTTGAATAGTACTGCTGGAGGTAAATATTAAGTTTGATACAGTCTGCTCAGTGGAAGCAAATAATATCAATTCCAAGTGAAACTGAGATTAGTAGATAAAGAGTTGTCTCCAGGAGAAAACATATCCATAAGATTGAGGTTCTACTTGGTCTTTTCAAATACAAAAACCTAAAGAAAAATACACTAGGCCACAGCTGAAGTCAGCATCTATTAGGAAGAGACTGGTAGCAAGACTTAGAATCAAAATGGAAAAAAATTCTCAGGTTAAACTGCAGCACAACAACTCAGATAAGAGTGCTAGAGATACATTTTGATAAAAGAAGGCAGGACCAAATCCTTACATTTTCAGTAAAAAGGCATAGCTTAGAAAGAGGCAGTGGGCAAATATATGGGTAGACTTTTCAGTGAAGCTTTCTGACAGGACCAAACCACCATCCTCAGCTCCACAAATGGGCTGCCCTTCATGTTTCCCCCAAGACTTTGAACCTTCCAATGGAAAAGAAACTGCAAAGAGGCAATGAGATTTAGACCAAATAACCTCTCATGTTCCTGATCTATTTCCATCACAAGTTTTTCTCTGTAGGTGTGAAGCAGCCTAAAATTTTGTCAAAACACAGATAGATATTTATAGATCAGAGGCATCATATGTTCCTGCAAACAAACAAGCAAAGAAAAAACTTCAATTTTCAGCAGAAAATAAGTACTGCTTTCAGGCTCACTATGCAGAAATGGAAGAGGATCCTGGATAATTCAGGGTCACAGAACGTGAACAATTTCTAGCCCCACTAAAAAATCCAAATCATTATACTTGAGGTCTGCTAAATTATTATCACAGGTATCTCCAAACTGAGGCAGAGCTTTGGAGCTTTTGTATTAGACAGCAAAAAAAAAGATCAATATTTTCCAGAAATAGAGTCTTCAAACCCCTACTTATTTTAAAACAAATTGTTCGTCTTCTCCCTTCATTTTTTGTTGTTGTTTGGGATTCTTGTATTGTTTTGTTGTTGTTGTTGTTGGATGCGAGAGCAGTTTTGTTACAACACATGATAGGTGTCAGAGAACAGTTGGGTGTTCTGGATAGAACCACATTGGATTATTCATTCTTATAGGAGCAGATGTCATTTTGAGAATTTAAGAAATCAACGCTACTTGCAGAAGAAGCCTTTTGTCATTCTGATAAATGACAATCATACATGAAACTCCACAGAAAAGAAGGACTTGCCAGCCCTGGCATTTGCCCAGACACAGCATTTGACACCGACTTCAGCTGAGTATAAATATAGAATAGTGCCTAATGGATGTTGGCTTCTAACAGCACAGAGACCTTGAGTTGAATTCAATTATAGAAAAAACAGGTTCTAAGAGAGATTGTGTTACTGTTGGAAGGTCTCCACGCGGTACAGGAAAAGATCTCTGCAAAAGGAAATCACTAAGTATGGCAGAATCCTGTCTCTGAGGAAGCACTATGAGCAGTGCTTCAGGCATCTCACGCTGTAAGGGGAGATAGTTCTGTATCTTCAGGCCAAGACAAGAGCAAAGTACAGAAAACAGTTATGCCGTTTGTCAGAAAAATTTGTTCATCTTTCCTCATCTTTTCCCAAAGGGTGGGACTATGAAGGAAACTTTGGTTTCTTCTTGTCTTTAAGATGCATCCAAGATGTGTAACTGCAGGAATGTAGTGAAGAAAACATGAATGTCAAAATAGCATCAGGGCTTGCCTGTATTAGGAATGGAAGGAAACTAATGCATTGAGTTTACAGAATTAAAAGACACAGTGGCTTCAAAATAAGTAAAACTGCATGTGACAATATCAGCAAACACCCTCAACATCTGAAGTGCACCTCTCATGAGATATTCATGACATATATATATGTAGACTACTTACTGTAATAGAGAAATGTAAAGATCAAGCTTACCTAACTTGGGTACCTGACTTCTACCTACATTTAAGGCATCAGGAGTTTCTCTCATATTTAGCCTCCACAGCACTGATGTGGACATCTGAGTTTGTCAGTGGAGTCCAGTAAACTACTTGCTTGGTCAGATAAACTCCTTTGACAGTATGGCTAGATCTGCACTGGCGACAGCAGGAAACTAGGCACAAACTCACCAGTGCTTATCAGGTGCAAAATCAGGTAAAAGGAATGAAGAAGATCCCTTTGAAAAAAATACCTAAGCTCACTGTGTAGAGGAGACATGTCTCCCTGATGGATTTTAGGCTTTAAAAGTCCTCAAGAAAAAGTCATGTTAGGATTGCTAAGGAAACAATGCCGAAAGTGATTAACGTGAAACTATAATCACAGTGCACTTGATTTGTTTTGCAACACAGAACAAATCTTTAAACTAGAACTGCAGTGAAACTCATCCAGCTTTTGAACAGAATACAGTCTGTTTGCCTTCACTGAACTGAATCTTCAGCATGCAATAGCTAATTAAAGACTCCAAAAGTCTGTAAATACTTTGAGGAATGTTGATATACCAGCCTAAGCTCTTCACATGGCTAGCTGGATAAGTCTTGTCTCATTTGCTTCAGTGATGCTGAGAATGACTGTGGTGATTTCATCATCTTCAGCTCCTAGTAAAGCAGCTCACCCAAGAGAAAAGTTGTATAAGGAGAATCTTTCTGTTGCATGAAAAAACTACTTCTGATTTAAGTAAATAAATGCATAAATAAAAATGGGTAAATGAAATCTTGTGTGTGTGCTTACAATACTAAGATATCTGGGAAGAATATTTCTTAAAATGCTTTTGTTTAGGACAAACAGTAAAACAGAAGATCAAATGCAGAGCTGATGTACAGCATGGAAATAACATGAAGAATTCAACTTTGATAGATTCAAACTACTTATACCACTTTTACATGGTTAAAAATAGGCCATTCTGGCCCCAAATGCTTAAATGATGGACAATTGGATGCTTAGGATCTGATTCCTTAACTATCACATTAGATTTATATGATGAGGAATATTTTTCTACCTCGTTTCCTAACAAACAGTGCCACTGACAGCAAAGATGTAGGTACCAGTAATTTTTAAAATAACAGCAGAAATCTAAATATGGTATCAGCTTTTATTATTTTCAAATCTTTCTAATGCCAAATGAACCCAAAGGTCATAAACACTATATAATGTATAAAGCAATGGTACATAATTAAGATGGATACAAAATACTGTATGCAGAAAGGAAATATTTTCTTTTTAATTATATTATTACCTTCCTTTATGTTACTAAATTGCTACACAATTTCATATATAATTGATTTTCCAAGAAAAACATTACCAAAGTGATTCTGTAGTTCAAAACAGCATGAACTTAATAACATACAAACAATTTTTATCTCACAACCTATAGTGCTACATGGGATTTAGTGTGCTGAAAAAAAATATTCCTTCATATTCACAGTAATTTTGAATGTAACAAAAACTCAATAACTTTTCTCTCTGTACTTGTTAAGAAGAATACTAACTATCCCTCCTGTGAGGATATATTTTGTAGGTGCTTTTGCAGATTATGAAAATAGTTGTGAGGAAGTATTTGGATAAAGGAAGGCAAAGCTCCAGGTAGCAATAGGTTTCATACCGAGTTGATAAATGCAATTAGGGATCAGAAGGATGAACAATTACTTCAGGGGAGTTTTGATACCAGAATGCAATATCAGATGATTAGAAAACTGGGAAAATATCATCTTCTTCCTATTGCAGAAGAACCCAGCAGCCTCAGCACAAGTGAAAAAAACATTGTGCTAGGGCAATGGATATTGCATGCCCTGAAGTGTTCACAGGCTCAGTAATCAAATTTGAGAAAGAAATACCTCAGTGATCTTGAGAAACTATAAAGCTACATTACCCCAGCACAGTGCAAAGAAGCACTGTGAAGAGTTAAAATGAAGGAGAACTTACACGGTCTCTTCTTGGTCCAGAGTCCTTGAGGTGGGTGAAAAACAGTTCCCCTAAGAAGAGTGGACCCATGCAGAGCCTGCACCAGAGTTCTGTTGAAGAGGTGGAAGCATTTCACAACCATTTTTAATGAAGGGACTGTGAGTTTACCAATGTTAATATCTCACCAAATCCATTATGACACTACAATGAGGTCTGTGCTAATTGACAGGATTTCTCATGTAATTGACCCTGAAAGAACAACACTGCCAAAGTGTTCCATTGCTGTTAGATGCTGAGCACCTCAGTGAGTTGCTGACTTCACCGAGCTCCTACAGACTACAGAGGATGTGCAGCCTTGTCCAGACAGAGAGACGTAGCATGACTCCTTGCAGTTCTTCTGAGATGAAGCTCTAGTTGAGAAAATACTAATCTGAACTTAGTAACTTAACCTCTGATTTTGTCTCTTTGAACTTGGAGGAAAAAGTAACAGGATAACAAAAAGTGCTGATAAGCTGAGCAGTTCTAACTCAGTTATCGTTGCCATTATGTGGCTAATAGCCTCTCCTGAACAGACTTGATTTTTGTATCTGTTTGCATTAGAATCAATTTGTGGTACAAGATTGGTATTATTTATTGAATGCTACACCCAGCTGCAAAGTTAAAAGTATGACAAGCATCTTTGAATCTAATTACAATACCGTGAGACAAAGACTTGTATAGGTGCTATAAATTAAGTTTAGAAAATATCACTGGTGTGGTGAATGATGAAATGGAGGTTACCAGTTCCATGAAGTTGCTTCAGTCATTTCAAAAGGATTAGACTGCTGCTGTTTTGAGCTGAATTGACCAGATATTTAGGTCTTGCTTATTTTGTACAAGCAAACATTCACAATAAAGTCAACTTAACCTAACCATGTGAGGTAGAATAAATTTGATAAAGATAATTGCTTTTTTTTTTTCTATTTTGTCTGCTCAAGTCACTACAGTTTCTCTCTTCTCTTCTAATTGATAGCTCTGGCCTATGTCCTTTTCTACCTTTTGATTTTTCCCCTAGCTGCTAATAGCACACACCATTTTATAGAGCTCCAGTCTATTAACCAAGTGCCTGACCTTGTGGGTTGCTGAACACCTGCTGGAATACATTCAGTGCCCATAATTCTCATTGATTTCATTGGAGAGAAAGACCTTGCTCTCTCCCAGGTCATCTGGGCTGACAAAAAAAAAAAAAAAAAAAAAAAAAAGCCTCACTAGAGATAGCCCTTGATGAACATTTTTGAATCCAGAAAGTCAGACCAGCATCAGAAATAGCCACTTCCAGAGCTTCCATCATTGAAATGATGTCAGACCATTGCCTGCATAGTCAACAAATCAAATTAGGAGCATAACTACTCTTCATTTCTTACACAGTCAGTGTAGGGATATGTTATATATTCCCCACTGGATATCACCAGTGATTGATCCAGCCTAGAGTCATACTTCTGAGTTGCAAAATAAGAGACAGTACTAAGGGAGAGCACACAAGTGAGGCTGCTTCTTACAGCCTCCTTTGCTGTTCACAGTACCCATAGCTGTGGCTTTAGGCATGTTACAAGGTATATTGTTCCCTCTAACACTGTGTTCTAGTTCCTGCAGTATGGGATTTGGCGAATGCATTCTACCATTAACTGATTGAGAAACTTGTTGACTTTGTAAACCTCAGTCACATATATATTCCTTCTTATCCTTCTCTTCTCCAGCTGAAATGTCCCACACCTGTTAACCTCATCAGGCAGCTGCCCCATTTATAATTTCCTCTACTCACTCTTCTCTGTGTTTTCTTTTGTCTTCTTTTCTAGTTCCTCCACATCTTTTTTGAAACACAAGGCCAGAACTGCTCAGAGTGGTCAAAGATGAGGCACACCAAATGGGGCCTTCTGCCTTACTCTGAATGAAAGGAGTAAGAGATCCTCTGAAAGAGGATCTGAGCTACAGAGCTTCATGTTCGGTACACCAGCAACCACGGGAGTAGTCACTCCTGCAGCAACTGTGTACATAAAAACAATTCAGCCCAAACTCTTTTCAGGAAGTAGCCCCCTTCATACATGAGTAACCTGGTTTATTTTACTATGTTTTAAGGTGAAATGAATACTTCTGCAACTTCCTATTGACTAAAAAAACTAAGCACAGGTAATGCAACCATAGACATTTAAGCTTCTGCTGTATAGAGCTGTCCAGAAGACTCCCTGTTATATGTCTTTGATTTCCAGTCTGGTTTCTTGCAGCCTTTCAAAGGGATACATGGAGAATTGATCTAAAGAAGAATTCTGGTGCATTAAACAGTGAATTGAGATTTGTTTTTACTCGGGTAGTGGTTTGAAAAGAAAAGGAGGTTTTCTCCTTTTCTCAGGTTTTCCAGAAATGTGTGATTCAGGTTGGCCTTGGTGAAAAAGGGGGCTCTTTGGCAAAAGCTCTTTGTCAAAAAGGAGCATTCTGAGCTTCAGATTTGCACAATTATGTGAATGGAAAGATAAACTAATGATAAAGGAGTATTAGGATATGCTGTACTGATGACTGGTACTAAGAAAGGATGAAGTGTGACAGACAGAGAAATACCATTTTCTTTTGCTTGGCTATTTCCTGCAAAGCATGTTTTCAATTTCTGGAATATGAGTACTTATGAGTGTACATTTGGCATTACTCAAGAAAAACATTAAGATTGTTCAATTCAAAAAGAGAAAACTGAGTAAGTATATGAAGAGATAAAATACTACTTCTGTGTTCCAGTTCAGTCATGTTTTGTGTATCCTCTAAGCTTTCCCAGTGAGTGATCTACAAAAAAAGATTTCATGTCTGATTTAGTAGGCATCTTTCCTTAGTATTAGCAGATATTCCTGTGAAGGAACGCAATATAGTCAACTGCGAAACAGAGCTAATCACATTCTCTAACTGTGGAGAGATATCTCTTCATAATATTTACTTACTGGTATATTTATTTTTAAAACTACTATTAAGTTCCCCTAATTCACTGAAAGTGATAATATACTTTCACTGACACCACAGAAACATACAATCATGGACTATAAAAGTTTAAAAGCCTAGAAACTGCAGAGATCAAAGGTGAAAGCTAAGAAGTATATATTAGGAATAACAACAGATGGCCCCAGAATGAAAACAAATGAACTCACTCCTAGAACTTTGCTGCCATTCGTTAAACCATTTGCACTGGGAGTTTGGACTTTATTACTTAAGTGAGCCTTTTCAGAGAAATAAAGTAACATTTTCACTACAGAGCCACCATTTGTACTTAGACAGATTGTATCAAACTCTAAGTGTCACAAATATTTGGAAATGTATATAATTATTGAAATTTAAGATGAATTAACCAGCGAATATTTACTCTCATATAGTTTGCTAAGTACAAATCTGGAGAACAGCATTCACTAGCAGTAATATAGCACACGTATGAACACTGAATCACAAATGGAGTACTGAGACTTGCCATCTCTGTGTAGTGCTCCTGATTACCAGGTTCTGTCCAGCTTGCTGCATCCTTCCCAGGATATGTGAAATATGAAATGAAGAATGAAGAACAGTATGCTATACACCAACTGCTATCCCTTATGTTCTTTTCTCTTTCTGTTTGTAACTGAAGAAGGAAAACCTAAGATCTACATAAACAGTACAGCTGAAAACACACAGCGTTTACTTTGCTGTTCTTTTGTTTTACTTTCTTTTACCCTAACACCAGAAAGTGTTAATTTGGAACGTTGCATTACTCGAGAGTTGAAGTATAAAGAACTGTATGAAAATGTGCACTACTACAAAAGCCGCTAGTATCCAAGCTGTACATTTTCCATTTCTTTTCAATTCTTTATATTCCCTTTCAGACTGTTTAACCAGACCTGTGGTCCTCCCCATTTTATCCTCATTCTCACCAGAAAGAAGGACTCTAGTCTCCAACTGAACAAGAACAAGCCATACAAATAATCCCCAGTTTAAAACTCAGATGCAAAATGTTTAGACTACTGCAAACAAAAGCTTAGCTTTACTTGTCCTGAGCCTTTGTTCAGTAGTATGTTTTCTAATTTCCAATGTTAGTGTATGCAAAATATTTAATCACGAGATTGGTATGAGTGTAGTATTTATAAAACCTTCTAAAAAATAATTCTATCTGGAGCATCACATGCTTTGTGACTCCTTAGGTCAAGCCCATAGTATGCATTCTCCATTCTTCCCCTACCTTCATCCTGTATGCTCATCTCCCAACCATCTTTATTCAAATGCCTTTCTGAAAATTCATGCATTGCCCCCACCATTGTTCTTCCATGTTATATATATGACATACATATATTTATAACTGAGAAATAAATATTTCAGTGAGGCAGCTCTTTATTTTGGAAGGATGAGCAAAACTGCCATGGACACAATAATTATTTTGTAAAAATAGAAGTGATTGCTATCAACCTGTTCTTCAGTTTGTAAACAGAGAAGTGGATGAAGTTGCTAAATCTGCTAATCCAATCTAGGTATTGATATTTTTTCTTCTCTTATTTTTTCTTTCTATTTTCACCTCTCAATTTTAACCTGGAATCGATTGGATTTTTTGACTGGCAATCGAGAATATTCCCTAAAATGCTCTGAGCTACTACGCAGAAGTTTCTTGTTAGAAATAAAGGGAAGAAACGTCAAGCTGAGTAAAGAAGCTTATTTTGTTCAGACAAGAAACAAATTGTACTTCTACCTCCTATAACCAAAGCATTTTTAAGAGCAGGATAGAGGTTGCTTAAATCAATAACCATTAAGAAGCACAAAGCTGCTAAAAAGAATACATCTTCAGAGAAACAAATGGCCAGACTTGAAGTAGAAATTCTATTTATGCGGAGGGATCCTGATTAGACAATCCTAACAGCCCTTCTTGGCATTGCACTTAGGGAAACTATGAAACATGAGAACAAATTAAATAAATGTTGTTTATCCTTGCAAAAGGTCTTAAAGGATGCTTCTCTAGTGACATAAAACTTCACTCATTCATTTAGTGCAATGAATTCATTTTTATTAGATGAAGATTTTCATAGTGTCAAAACCAATTTTTGATTACTTAAATTCCAAGCCCTTCCCTTCTTTCCAAAAAGTACAGAAGACA